CTTTCAAACAGTGTCGCGTTCCGAACGTTGTTTAAGCGACATACACCGGTATTGCGGTATTTAAAAAATTCATATCATAACAAAAATAAACACCGGTATTCGGTATGAACCGGTATACCGCCCAGCACTAGAGGAGATCAAACATCTCAAATGGTTAGACAGCCCTGACATTATAACAGCAATAAACTACACATCATAACTATTGCAGCATGATATACCAAACTAAAACTGATACTGTGATATGGCTTAGTGCAATTATCGAATTGCAAAGGCTAAATGAATAAATCTATGTGTTGTGGGTTTTAGAGTGAAGCGTGACACCGTGATCATCTACATGTGTGCAGCTCTTCATATAGTTTCAGATTGGCGGTTCAAATGAAATGAACACTGTATCATGAGCTGCACGCGTGTAAATCCACACAGTGCCACGCTTCACTCTGAAACCCTAATGAATAAGACAAATATTTAATTCTGCTCACTTTATGGCTACCGAAAGAGGTTTGAGTTGGTTATGTAACGAGCATACTCAAGTGTGAACACCCACATTTGTCCCAAATCATTCAGCCCTCAAAGAATGATCCACACAAACAATCTTCAGTCATTTTTCTATGCAGATGCACCCCTCCCAATAAACCACCCAAAATACTTCTCGAACAATGAACTATTTCCAAATATAGCAAGCAGTTCATTGTTTTTTTTGTTCATATCGCAAAGTCCGTTTTTTCCAATACTGTGCAGCCCTAATGATTACTAAAACAATGGCTAAAATGATCACTGTTTTATGCTTTTTTTATTTTACTGTAGTAATAATTGGTAATTACTAGAAAAATGTTACAGTGGCTGTCACAAGCTCTTAAGTGTGGCTTTTTTAGCAAACTAAACACTTCTAGATAAAAAGGGATGAGCTCTTTGATATGTCTCAACACAGGAAAACCACCAGTTCATTACTGATAGTTACAGGTCTGTATACACAAAATGTAGAATTGAGAGAATTATGATATGATTAAATGATGAAATCTCTCATGCAGAGAAACTGTGTGGATAATGAAATGATTGATTTCCAGTGGATATGGATGAGAATATAAAGACCCGTCACCACACCATGATCTGACAGACGGCACAGATGACAGTCTCAGTGTGACTACACGAAATCCAGGTCAAACCGTGATCATTAAATCACTGATCACTGTTGCATTAGCTTGATTGGCTGGTGAATATGAACTGTTCTTTCTGTGTGTTGTTACCAGCATTTGACTATAGCGTGTCCGTCTGGAGTGTGTGAACGCTGCTGTACCTACAGACTGGTGAGAACACAGGTTAATGCGTTACAGTCACAGCGTCAGTGTGTGTGTTTGTGTGCGTGTGTGTGTGTGTGTGTCACACCTGGAAGTGCTGATCTGTGTCGGACTCTCCGATCTGCTGCAGGAGTTCACCGCTGGCCTGACCCACATTACCCGCTGCCTGCAGGAGGTTCTGTCGCGGCTGAAGACACACACAGCAATATTAACATATCATAACAGCAAAGGCAACATTAAAGCAGTATTTGCTCATAACATTTAGATTTACAGAGTTATTAGCATTTTCTAAAGGACAAAGCAATGCATGCAAGACAGCAAAAAAACAATAGTGGTAAAGTTTTAACTACACTATTGTTAAATTTTTTTTGAAAGCAATTAATTTTTTTCAGCAAGGATTCATTAAACTGATCAAAAGAGAGAGTAAACATCTATAATGTTACAAAATATTTCTATTTCAAATAAATGCTGTTCATTTAAACTTTTTATTTATCAAAGAATCCTGAAAAAAATTAGTCATGGTTTCAACAAAAATATTAAAGGAACACGCCACTATTTTTGAAAATAGGCTCATTTTCCAACTCCCCTAGAGTTAAACAGTTGAGTTTTACCGCTGCGTAATATCATTGCGTCTGCTGCATCCATGGTACGGCAGCAAAGTTCCTTGGTTATTACGCCGGAATGAGAGTATAGCTCCTAGCCATATCGGCCTAGAAAATCACAACTTTTCATTTTCCGTCGGTCTTAGTACACGATGTAACTACAGAAGAGTCAAGTTTTAAATAGGAAAAATATCTAAACTCTTTGGTAATTTTTGAGCGGGATGCTAACGGTCTAATCAGATTCAATGATCTATGCTAAGCTACAGCTAAAAGTGCTACCGCCAGACCCAGAGATCGGCTGAATGGATTGGAAAACGGTAAAACTCAACTGTTTAACTTTTTGGAGTTGGAAAATGAGCCTATTTCATAGTGGAGTGTTCCTTTAAGCAGCTAAACTGTTTTCAACATTGATAATAATGCATTTGCTGCAGTAAATCAGCATATTAGAATGATTCTGAAGCATCATGTGATGCTGAAGACTGGAGTAATGATGCTGAAAATTCAGCTTTGATCACAGGAATGAATTACATTTTAACATATACTCAAATAGAAATCCTCTACTTCAAATTGTTTAATATTTCACAAAATTACTGTTTTTACTTTATTTCAGATTAAATAAATGCAGGCTTTGTGAACCTAAGAGATGTCTATCAGAAACAAACAAAAAAATTTTTTATTGACCCCAAACGTTTGAATGGTAGTGTTTGTTTAGGTTTTAGGCTTTGATTTCTTCAGAAAACCTTTAAGGGAACCAGAATCATGACCCAAAACACAACCATTAGATTCCTTACAATCCCCAGTCCTACTACTAACACACCACTGAATCCACCACATCAACTGTTTGCCACATTCTCAATCGCATGTTTGTACTGTAAATGCTGATACCTCAGTACTGGCGGGCTGAGCGGTCTTGAGCATCTCAGACACAGCACACGCCAGGCTCTTGGCAGCACCCAGAAGCTGTTGGCCATGTCCTCCCTCGTCCTCCATCAGCGCCGCCAGCAGTTTGACACCCTTAGACATCTCGGTCAGGTTGGAGGAGATGGTGGTGACAGCACAGCCCACAGCGGTGTAATCCGTCTCTGCCGGGTCACCTGACACACACGTTCAGGGACAGACTACATTTTACCACAGGACCAAAAGTCAGTGGGGGAACTAAAAATCATCTTCTCACTGAAGCTGCACATATTTTGCATAGCAAGCACACAGTCAAGAAGAGTTGTCAGCTAGTGCGATGCTAAGGAAACAGGCAGAATGCAGGGTTGCCGGCTGAAACATGTAATTGTGTGTCACCTGCAGTCAGATTGACCATGGAGGCAGTTCCCGCAGTGATGGCATCCACCTGAGAGTGAATCTCATGTTTGGACTCATCCATTTTATTCTTCCTCCATGCTTGAGATGCCTAAACATCAGAGAGAGGTTGTTTAATACAAGTACTGAGCACATATACATTCATCACTTCACAGCTGATTACAGCAGCATGTCAGAAATGTTTCTTTCCACACATCCACATGCCGTATATCTACATTCCTTTCTAATCATTCATTTAGCCCGGATTCAGAAGTTTTTCAAAAGCTTTCCCCCCCACCCCTCACCTCACGTTTTTAATTTCTTTCCACACATCCACATGCCGTATATCTACATTCCTTTCTAATCATTCATTTAGCCCTGATTCAGAAGTTTTTCAAAAATTGAGGTGTTTTTCTCCTTTCCTTTTTTGTGTGTGTGTGTTTTCTACACATATTGTAATGTATGTTTGTATGTCCTTCAGGAGACATTAACTCTCCTGCCAGGCTGTTATTGTAAATACAAACCTGTTCTTAACGACTTGCCTGGTTAAATAAAGGTTAAATTGTAACCCTGGAGCACAAAAGCAGTCTTAAGTCGCTGGGGTATATTTGTAGCAATAGCCAAAAATACATTGTATGGGTCAAAATGATAAATTCTTCTTTTTATGCCAAAAATCATTAGGATATTAAGCAAAGATCATGTTCCATGAAGATGTTTTGTAAATTTCCTACCGTAAATATCAAAACTTAATTTTTTAGCTCTATATATAAAGTTAGATATATATTATATCCAACTTTATCTGCACATACACTCACGCAGGCCGATATATACTATATAATATATAGCAAGCCTCTAAACATTGATTGCCTGTATCGTCACATGTAACTATTTTACACAACTCTAAGGCACGAAGATTATAATTAAGATGTTATAAATATTAGCATCATGACTTTCTGTGAAGCTGCTTTGAAAATGTGTATTGTGAAAAGCACTATAGACAAATAAAATTGACTTGACGTGAATAAACAAACCATACATCAATGGAGAGCTTATTTATTCAGCTTTCAGATGATGTATAAATCCTTATGAATCATAAATCATAAAACCCTTATGACTGGTTTTGTGGTACAAGGTCACAATTAAAAAAAGAAAATTGTTATGCATAGAATTTTTCTTCTTGTTTTAATCTGAATCTCTCAGATATCACTCCAGAACCCTACCGATGTCTCAGTCCCTCAAGTTGCAGAGATACTGTCTATCAATAGAGCTTTACAACTTGAGCTATTTCAGTCACATATCAAAAAAGGTCAAATATTTTAACCTCCAGAGTCCAGACCAAAAGAAAACAACTTCAAACACACTATCTTAACCCTTGTGAACTGTTCAGAAAATACACCTGTTATGCTCAGGTCAAAAATGACCCAACTTCAATGTAAACATTTTTTTTTTCAATTACAGCACTACCATGATTTTGTACATGAAATTTGGTATATGCTAATTTAGATATTTTCTCAATATTTTGTGTTTGAAAAGTGTTTGAAAAATATGCCGTTTTTATTTGAGTTTCTGCTGGAAACTTTTTTTTTTAAATTCCATAAATATATACAAAATGATATAATACATAAATTTGGAACAATGTTGTAGGGAAACCAAATGCATTTGAAAAAAAAGAAAATAAATAAATAAGTAAGCAAGCAAGCAAGTAAGATTAGGAATATTTTTTCACAGATTTTATTTTTCGCCTGGGTCAAAAATAACCCAAACAGAACACTAGGGTTAAATACAACTATTGCAAATTATAAAAGTGACTGAAACATTAAAAGATATATATAGAGGTATATGAATAATGCATCTCACCGCATCAGTGCCCAGTGGAGGCAGGGCATCAAACTCAACGAGAGAGGCTTGAACTGCCTGCACCGCCTGCATACTGGAGTTAATGGTGCCAGTCAAAGCCTGCTGAGCTGATATCTGCCAGATAGAGAGAACACAGACACCTCACTGCACAGCGCCGAACACCATTCAGACAAAACAGGCAGAGTGATCACAATTACACCAACAGACACGTCTCATATTCATATCAAGAGCAGAGCCCATCTTTCAGAGCACATTCAACCCTATACGCCCTGTACATGGTATTTGTGGTATCTTATCCACCCGCTGTATGTTTGTGCATGTGCATATCTGACCAGAGGGGGCATGTGTCCTCGGTGCATCTGTCCGCTGGTGATGTGCTGTTTGGCCTGTGGCATGGAGCCCATCTGGAAGCTCTCCGGACCTCCGGCACCAGAGCGGATGATGGCCGGCAGAGCGACAGAGCCCGTCTCCACCTTCCCGACCTTATTAAACTGCTGCTGGAGAACTGTTGACCTGGAGCATGATACATCACAGGTTACCATCAGACCTAATGCCATGACTGAGACTTGTGTGCCATATGTCATTTTACTGAACTATGAAAAGAGGCTCACTTATTGGGAGACACGGAGTCCTCCAACATGGTTGATTCCTCATCGCCCTCCAGGCCGAAGTGATCTTTGCTCTTTTTCTGCAGATAAAGGGGTTTTCAGACGCAGCGAGTTAGGGAAAGATACTTGTGAGAAGCACTTTGTTGCCAGAGCAGATTTCTCTAGACTGGTCAAACATGAAGGTTTGTTGAATTGTGAAAAGCACTATAGACAAATAAAATTGACTTGACGTGAATAACCCCTTTAGAAGGGGTTATCACTAAGGGATTTCTTAAGGAGTTAAAATAGTTGTTAATAGTCCGTCAATAACAATGGATCAGTCTCTGCAAATGGTTGTATGAGAAAACACCAACAAATTGAAGAAAACGTACACTTTCTGGGCGCACAAAATAAATAATCAAAGAAATGTCTGAACATATTTCAAAGATAGGATGCAGCAAAAATTGAGAACTTTTTCAAATCCAGTAAACAGTTTTTCCTCAAAAGCACTTGTATTAACCTGGTACCGTGTAAACTTGTTCATAAACCTATGTGCTCTTACTCCTAGAAGTTGCGTAATGACAGCCAGTTTTTAGTTTTGTGTGTATTATGCATCAGAGGCTCAGTAAACTCAGTCACCCTTCTAGTCTTGAGAGTCCAATAAATACGTGAAATCAAAAATAAGTGTCAGGCTTCACATGATTTATTCAGTTTTAACAATCAGATTGGTCATGGCATGTTACCTTCTTGAGAATGATGTCGATGTAACCAGCGATGAGTTGTGCGATCTGCTCTCCTTCGGTGGTCTGAACGGAGTAGTAACCATCCTGATAGTCTCCAAAGTCCTGAAGAAGAAAGATTAAACACATGACACTCATGTTACACAAAAATAACAACAGAGTAAATAATACGGCACACTATAAAACACTGAATAGTAAAACAACTGTTTGGATGATTAAGTAGTTTAAAGTTAATAGTGAAGCAGTGAATTCATACATTAGGCTGTATAAAATGAGCAAATATCGTCTCAGGTTTAGAAAATATTCATGGTGCAATTACAAAGCAGGGATGGAATAGATCCACCAAAATTCACAAAGGTTTGAGAAATCTGTGCAGCAAGAAAAAAACATGCAAAATGCATTCAGTGTGACTGAGTGTGTATTGACAGGGAGCTGGAGAACGGAAACAACTGTCAAGTAATTATTGAAATCCATTCAGACAAAACAGGCAGAGTGATCACAATTACACCAACAGACACGTCTCATATTCATATCAAGAGCAGAGCCCATCTTTCAGAGCACATTCAACCCTATACGCCCTGTACATGGTATTTGTGGTATCTTATCCACCCGCTGTATGTTTGTGCATGTGCATATCTGACCAGAGGGGGCATGTGTCCTCGGTGCATCTGTCCGCTGGTGATGTGCTGTTTGGCCTGTGGCATGGAGCCCATCTGGAAGCTCTCCGGACCTCCGGCACCAGAGCGGATGATGGCCGGCAGAGCGACAGAGCCCGTCTCCACCTTCCCGACCTTATTAAACTGCTGCTGGAGAACTGTTGACCTGGAGCATGATACATCACAGGTTACCATCAGACCTAATGCCATGACTGAGACTTGTGTGCCATATGTCATTTTACTGAACTATGAAAAGAGGCTCACTTATTGGGAGACACGGAGTCCTCCAACATGGTTGATTCCTCATCGCCCTCCAGGCCGAAGTGATCTTTGCTCTTTTTCTGCAGATAAGCAGATAAACATCACATTTTCATTTTTGGGTGAACTATCCCTTTAACATTTTGGTTGTGTGGACTTTCAAAGAATGGACATAAATGATGGAATTGTATTAAATGTATGACAGAATTGTAATTTTTGGGTGAACATTATTCAACCTAAACAATCCCTAAAGAGGTTAAACAAACCACCAAGTATTTACCAAATCGAACCAGAAAGGCACTGTGACACAGAAACACGATACGCAACACAGACAGACGGAAACAGAACTGTGACACAACCTATTCCACCCTTAGCACACATCGTAATCACAGAGCCATTTCAGTTCAAGTGTGAGTTCTCATCAGAACACAGCGTGTGTGTTTAGAGGAGTGTGCTGGTACCAGCGTGAAGCTCTTGGGAGAAGCGGCCCAGCGTTTGATGTTGGTCAGACTCCACTCCTGTATCACCTCTTTGGTCTTCTCATCCACTCTCATCACACACTCTTTAGTGATGCCCAACAAACGCGGAACAAGCTTATTCTTTCCTTTCATTTTTTCCTGTGAAGAGAATAAACATTACCATTGACACAAGAACGCATTAATATTAGAGCTCAGATATCGTATGAGATCGTTACCTTGACTAAGAAGAAGGACACTCCATAGGTTTTCAGAGATCTGGCTAGTTTGACGTAGCTGACTTTGGCCTCAATCTCGGTCATGTTTTGGCAGTTTTTGTGTGCCTTAAATAGAAGGGTTTATCATTAAATTGTGATTCATATAGCACATCGTGCTGTGCCTAACATGGGTATGAAAAATAATGAATTACACATAACCTGCATAACCTCACCTGGAAGATCCTTTTCTCGCCCTTGTTCTTGATGTACTCTTTGGGCAAGAATTCTTTCAAACTGGATGAGAAAGACAGGAAGCAAGAATTAAGTGATTTCTTTTAATGAATGTTTTGAGAATTAAAGCAATCTGGGCTGGTGATTTTAGCAGTAGCTTGTGCTGGGAACAAATGAAACGCTGTCATTCATAAAACACTGGTAATCTCGTCAATGATGTTACTGATGACAATGTTAACAAAGATGATGGCCAAACTATTTTAATTAAAACATACTGTTTGTGAACATACGATGAGGAAAAAGTAAAAAAGTAGAATGAATTTATGCAAATATTTCAATATTTTGAGAACTGATTGATCAAGCTGAAAGAGTAATTTTCTCTTCCTCAAACCTAATAGTAAACGTAACCATGGATGTAAATGTAAACAAATGTTGTTATTTTAAGTTCTGTTTCTGTTCTCATGCAGTTTGAGAAATGCAGGATTTGTTGGTTTTGAAGGCTCTGATGGCATTAACTACCAAACATTTAGGTGATTAAATGTTTTCATATATTAACAACCCAAATAAAAAGTTTCTATGCAACTAAACCAGTACATTACACAGATACAGGTTGTAAGGAGAAACAGAAATGCGCTGAGCTCACTCAAGGAATCCAGGTTTGTGTTTAGACTCATTGTGGTCTCCGAACTGGATCTGGCACTGGTATCCGGCAAACTCACAGGCCTTATCAAAGGAGACAGGGTGGGAGCCATTCAGGATGTCATCACGGGCCTGGGCCAAAAAATTAGCAGACACTGCATGATACGTTTCTAGCAAGAAGTAATTTGTCTGTCTACACCAGAAGTGAAAAAGATGCACAAAGCATCACAGTTACAGCCAATCAGACCATATTTGATGTTTAACATAGTTATGTAGAGTGTGATTTTTAGACCAATGAGATTTCAAAATGAGCGTGGCTTCCCCAGTACAATGCCACAGAAATAGAAACCAGGTAGTTGACAGAATGCCCTGTCACTAAGGACAAAAACCCTCAAAATTTACATGAAAAAGACTTTGATCCAAAGAGAAACAAGCTTTCGCTAATTTCCTTCCAACACTGTGTATAGATATCATTCAGTTTACGAATGACATAAGGACATGATTATGATGTGAAGGTGATGTTCTGTGGTGTTCACCTGCACATAGAGCAGGTTGAGCTGTACTGGGTCCCTGGAATCCACATTCTGGTCCGAGTAGAAGAACTTTCTCCTGAGAAGCAGCATCTCAGACTCCTCGACACCCTGCTCTCGCAGCATCCGCCCATGATCCAACCAATTCACTGAAAATACGGTCAAATACAGCAGCTTTGACATCAGTAAATTCAGCTAGATTCCAAAATCATCCAAATGTAAATGTTTAAATGCACTTGACTGATTTTTTGTTTCTCATGATCTTAAAAACCTTTGAATTTCTTTGCAAAACCAAAAATGTAATTTTATGTATTTTTTAATGGATTAGTCAGAGCGCACAGTAAAGAAATTCAGTCAACAAGAATCTAGAATACATGAGAATATACATTTGGTCACTATGAAATTCCCATACTTCCTTACAGTGAACAGGTTGAGAATATACTGTATGTATTGTTTTGAAGAACTGCTAAAACAACAAAATAATATGCATCAATATTTGTTTTATTCATGGTAAGCAGGATGCGACATACACTCATCATCTGTGTGAAGTTTCTGTTTGAGTTTCTCCATTTTTTTGTCATCCCTCAGGAGGGTCTTGTCTCTTTTTAGTGTTCCTGTGGTCTCTTCTTTCTTTTCCTCTCCCACGTCACGCACCAGCGAATACTCGTCATAGTTTGTGATGCCTGAGAAACCAGAAGTGTTTTACTCTGTCATTGCATTCAAACGGCTTCTCAGGGGTCATAACAGTTCAATTAAACCTCTAAACATCATTTTACAGACCTAAATTAAGTGTTGTTGCAGACCTACATTAATAATCTTAAGCCTCACTGACTACATCCAAATGTAACTTTAGTTCTGATCACAAATGTTTTAGACCCGGTTTCCACCTATATTTAGCACTGACCACTTCTTATTGGATCACAAAAAAGATCTTAATACCAAGTGAAAACAGGGCCCATGTGACTGGATGACTATCCTATGTGATATGGTGTAGATAGAGAAAAACAGCGGTGCGATCACTGAACCCTGTGGTACCCCAGTGGTGAGAGCACTCAGTGAGTACAGTGAGATAATCCAGCTGACTTGGTAAGACCTGTTATCCATGTATAATATAAACCAGGAGAGATCAGGCCTAGAAATGACTAAAAAGCAGGCAGAATGGAGTTTCACTCCTAATATGGACACTAACTTACCTATTCTGGCACAGATGGTCATTAGCATGTCACTGACGATTTTTGAGTCATCCACCATGACTGTTTTAACAGTTCCATCCAACATGCGGATCTTCAGGGGTCTCTGTTTCTTTTTGTACTCTAGTGTGTCCTAACAAATACATGTTCTTATGAAATATCCTTTATAAAACCCATATTATATACACTAGTGTTGTCAACTGTATCTTAAATATGTTTGAAATATTTGAAATATCAGGTTCAACCGTTGATTGCCAGTGTACTGACTGATAAAATGTAACTGTAAATTACTTTGGAGCATCTGTCAAATAATTTTTTTTTTTAAATTTTCCTCAAGTCAATCCCAATGCAAATATAGAAACAATGGCCATAAATTCCACAGCTTTGATTTTATTTATTTTTTTCCACTCATTTCTGATTACTAGACAAGGAAACATTTTATAGAGACTGCACTCACAATGAGCATTATTCTATTTGATATTTTTCTTAAATTACTTCACCCATTACTTTTATTATGGGTTTTTATTATTATTATTATTATTTTATTATACATTTTATTTGAAATATTCTAGACTCACTCCATTTCTCAGCATGTAGTAGTCCAGGGCTTTGCCTGCTTCTAGCCAAATGCCTTTCTTTGGGTCCTCATCTGACAGGAACAGGCCATAGTCACTGGCTGCAAGAAGACAGAAGAGTTAGTGGGTGGTCAGATTGCGTTTTACAACCTAATAAGACTGTCAAAATCAAAAGGTGCATTTCCCATCATTTCCTGATTTTTTAAAAATACATGATTCCTAATGCTTATTTACATTTATTCCTTTAACAGCATATAAACATAAACAGCTATTATTGCTTATCATTCTGATTGAACAAACCAATTCAAAATACACACCAGAACTAATGTAGTTTATGTGCAGCTTATTGTTTTAGGGGTCATTCACACAGAGCATATTTTTGCGTTTAAAAAAAGTGTGATGCAAATCAATGGAATGAAAATAAAACGCAAGGTCTAGAGATGTGTTTTTAAAAGATGAGCTACTTTTAACTTTTTTTCCAGACCATCATGACAAGCGCTGCAAAAGACACAAGATGCGAGTGCATCACTCAAAAATATCTGTCTAGCGCATGTTTAGATGGAAAAACAATGGCAAAACAGCACATTCTGTGTGAATGTCCCCTTATGGTTCTTTTTAATTTTTTTGGCCTTTATGAAAGTTGGCAATATAAATCATCATCCACTTCCACTGTGAATGAGTAGACTGGAAATTATCCGTTTGTCTTTAAAAAAGAAATGAATAGCCTTGGAATAATTTGAGTTGGAATTATATTGAATTATACGGAATTATATGAATTGTTAGGTGTAACTTTAAAGAATAACACATGAAGATGTGGAAAAAGAACTCAATTCAGTATTCGCCCGCTGTCTGATAGGCTGTTTTCTGTGTGCACGCACCCCAAATGTTTACTTTATTCGAATCTTTGTTTTATTGTAATTATTTGAGCTACTTACTGTTTTTCAGTTACCTTCTTGAAACTAGATTATTTGTTGTTATTTTATTACTGTTTACTTGTCTTTAATAATGTTTGAACCAGTAGTTTTTGCTGTGGTATCAAAATGGGAATCTAGAACTGTGAAATTGTCTACGTTTTGGTCATAACAACCTTATTTATTAGAAAACAAAGGTACAAAAACAATGAAAACAGTAACTTATCGTTGAGCCGATGTTTTGGATTAGAAAAAAAAAACAGCTGTTTTTGCCAAAATGCAACAAGTTTCATGAGACAGTGTTTGGGCTCCAAAAACTTTTATTTTTTTCCTTAAGTGATTAGGTCAAGTTAGGAATTGTTTTACTTAAAATTGGGCCCAGATTACTGCTCAGTTTACGTAAACACTTTTACTATAATTTTCATTGGTGATACCAAGAAAGAATTTGAGCTTTTTCCTCTAAGGGATTAGATAGTGTCCTCCAAATGTAATGTGGCAACACTGCTACACATTCTACATAAGCTGTTGAGTTTGGACGAAAGCAGTCCATCAAAGACACAAATGACTCGCAGGTTGAGACAAGTATGCAGAGCAGTACTGAGGACTATTACATAACAGCTGGGACCCAGCCGCACCCTGATACAGGCCCATTATAGCGCCGCAGCACAAACTAGATTTACACTGGATTTCTGAGGCATGTTTAGGCTTCTCTGGTATTTCTTTCTCTTCCCTCTTTGGAAGGAAGAGAATTTGGGTGGAACAAACACTAAAAAGGGAAACCAAAATCAGAGATATTATGCTGGGATTTTAGCCAAATATGGAGAATTTTACTAGTGTTGCTGCCTATGACAGCTGTAGGCTATGTATTGAGAAGTTTTTATGAAATGTGTTTTATTAAGTTATTAGATGTGGGAGAGAGGAAGATTAACAGTGAATGACAAATTGCTTTTTTACTGATCTGACTTAAAGCCAAAATTTATTTATGTGCAATATAACTAATACCAAAAAACTTCTATGGATAGCACGTTATCAGATGTGATGCATGTGATGAAAGTTATCTTTTCCAAGTAGGGATGTTCATTTTAACCATTTAACCGGTTAACTGACTGTAAGAATTTTGACCGATTAATACAATCAGTTAAACGGTTTAGAGCAGTACTGAGGACTATTACATAACAGCTGGGACCCAGCCGCACCCTGATACAGGCCCATTATAGCGCCGCAGCACAAACTAGATTTACACTGGATTTCTGAGGCATGTTTAGGCTTCTCTGGTATTTCTTTCTCTTCCCTCTTTGGAAGGAAGAGAATTTGAGTGGAACAAACACTAAAAAGGGAAACCAAAATCAGAGATATTATGCTGGGATTTTAGCCAAACATGGAGAATTTTACTAGTGTTGCTGCCCATGACAGCTGTAGGCTATGTATGGAGAAGTTTTTATGAAATGTGGAAGAAGTTATTAGATGTGGGAGAGAGGAAGATTAACAGTGAATGACAAATAGTAATGTTTTGCATAACATCACGGCGATACGGTGATAACACTTAACGGCACAGATTTTACTACATATTTAAACTGAGGAGTGTGTTTTTCATTCTCCATATATTTGACTGACTGTATATTATTATGATAATGAACAGGCTGCATTGTCAAGGTAGCAAAGCTTAACTGTGCGCGCATACGGCGCCGGCGCAATCACTTGAATTTTGTCCTTCTATAGCCCTATTCGCACGGGATTAGTATTACCTGGTGACCTCCAGTCATTTGTAATAATTGCGGAGGTTGTCTGTGATCTTAATCCCGTGCGAATCGGCCATGTCTGTAATTTGTAAAGTAAAAATTCCCCCGCAAATGATCTACCATATTTCGCCGAACACCGAGGTCCTGTGATAATATTAGTCCCGTGCGAATCGGCATCTCTGTGATTTGGCCAGCATTTGGCGGGTCGTATATCATTTTTCAAGGTTTTTGTTTCCTGTGCGCCTTTTTATCCATCTTTCGCGAAGAATTTTCTGCAAATATGGAAAAAATGAAGGGTCTCAATTAAATATGTGCAGTGTCACATGGTTAGCGCAATCTGTCACATGACCAGAGCAGATTACTTCCTGTTTGAACCATGATATGATGAGCATCAAAGCTCCAAAACAAAAAGTTAATAAAGTATGTTAACAAAGATATTACAAAGATTTTTGGTACACGTTATCTTTAAGGTGTCTATTATTAATGTATGTGTTTACAATTATTCAGTTTTGTTGAGTGTGGTCATAGAACGAGTAAACATTTTGATGGCAACAATAGTGACCGCTGGGATAATAACTATTTGTATTTTTTATCTATTCAGTGTTGTATAAGGGTTTTTATGTATAATAGTAACCATAGAATGTGATAAAACAGTTTAAACAGTGTGTTAATATCTGGGCTGAGCTATATACACATCCAACCGGTCACAATTGTGACCAACCATATAAAACACACACTTTTCCATAAAAATTTGAAAAATAATTATTGATTATTTCAAGGGGTAACTAATGACACATCATTTCGATATTTTTATGTCTGAGAAAAATTTGGGATTAAATGGGTTAATTTGATTATGTGGGGAAATTATGTTTTTAATTGTGCTTTAAAGTTTACAGTTGTTCAATCTGACAAGAGCTGTGAACATTTCACCCATCAGATGCTTAATAGCATTGCCATTCACATGAAAACTTCCAATGCATGTGAGATTCTGTCTGTATCTGAGCACTTTTCAGGGTTGTGAGTGTCTGCTGGTGGACTCACGCTGGCCGAGCTGTGCTTCTGGGACTTTCTCCCTGATGATTCGACAGGCGTCGTACACCACGGTGGAGGGCTCGAACTGCATGGTCTTCACCACATTGCCCACCCCGATCTTCAGCGACAGCGCCACCATGACTGACACTGCGGCACACTGCTACTCCTGCAAAACACACACCACACAAACTCTCAACACTCGTTTCAGGATGACATGTTGACATTATCGATGATTTAGACTTGTCTATGCCATGTAAAAGACAAATATTGTTTTAAAGACATAAGAAAAATATTTAAAAAGCCAAACTGTTAACTCTGTTTACCCAGCTATGGGGAAACACCTCAGTGAAGCGGAGGAATGCTGGCAAAGACGAAACAACAGCAATATGGGATATGAGCTACTGTATAATATATCACATTCTTTGGAAAATGTGAACTATGTTGAAATGAGGATGAGCCATCATTGGAAGAAGAAAATATATGGTGCCAGAAGAAACAGAAACTACTGTTATGGCAAAGAAGAAATGAGACGAACATCATAGTAGTAGTAGAATCTATAAAAACAGGAACCAATCACTGGTCAGAAACTAAAATATAAAATAAAATTATACCTTTGCAGCATTTTATTATATTCATCAATGTTTCTTGTCATAACTGATTTTTTTATGACCATGATTTAGTATTATTAGCAAGTATTCCCCCAAGGCTGCATGTTAAATGTCTTCAGCAAAAATCAAGAAATAAAAATGGCCTTATGTGAAATTTAAATGTTTTAATACAGCTCCGTTTTTATTTGAATTTTGAGTTGATTCTTAAATACATTTGATTAATTGACTGATTATTAAATAAACTTTATTTTCTGTTTCGGTTTTTGGATAAATGAAACATTTAATTTTGGTTTCTAAAAAAAAAAAAATCGGTGCATAACCTCTAAATTATATTTGTAGATTTTTTATATTTTGTAGATTATTTGTTAGATTTGAAAAGGGAGGAAAAAAAAAAAGTTCGGCAAAAGGCGGGATCGAACCCGGGTTGATCGCGTCAAAAAGCCAAGGGCACGTTGTGTTTTCTGACTTGTTATAATGTTTTCTGAATTGTTGTTGTGCTTTCTGAATTGTTATTTAGTTTTTTAGACTTGCATTTGCGTTTGTAATTTGTTATTTTGTTTTCAGAATTGTGATTTGCTTTGCACTTCTCGGCCACCGTACTTTAAGGCAGTGATCTTGACCCAACTGAAGCATGCAAGAGTCCCACACAGAGTTGCAGACCTCTTCCTCAGGCGTTATACTGATGTTTCCACATGTGTCAAAGCGCAACGGCTTCTGCAGCAGAACTACATATGCTGCTACAGTCAGAACAGTAACAAGGCATGAGAAAAATGCAATGCAACAGGAAACAGACTAAAAAAAGTATTATACATGATACATACGTACTTATTGAACAAGAGAATAGATCACATAAGCCAGCTTGAACCCTGCACAAAGTTGAATGCAATGCAAAGTACATCAGCGCAAATTGTGGTTGTGAAGTTTTTTTTATTGCTTCATATACATACTCTGTCTACACCGCCTCTTTTAAAAGTGTGCCCATCACATGCCTACAGCTGCCAGGAATGATTATGAAATTTGAAATGATGAAAACCTACTATTAAGTGTCACACAGTACATATAACTGTGATTACTGATTTAATTGTAAGTTTAGTTAGTGTAAACCTATTAAACATATACTTTAAGAAATGGTTTATTCATATTTGACTTATCATAGTAAAATCGGCCTATTTGATTTCCTTTAGAGCTTTGACAATCTATTTCTCTTTTTGGTCTACTTTAATTAATCTTAGTCCATTTTCATTCACTGTATTTTTTTTTAAAGGGGTCATATGATGCGATTTAAATTTTTCCTTTCTCTTTGGAGTGTTACAAGCTCTTGGTGCATAAAGAAGATCTGTATATCTGTTTTCTATGTGAATATCTGTTAAAATGTAATTTATTCCTGTGATCAAAGCTGAATTTTCAGCATCATTACTCCAGTCTTCATGTCACATGATCTTCAGAAATCACTCTAATATGCTGATTTGCTGCTCAAGAAACATTTCTGGTTATTATCAGTGTTTAAAACAGTTGTGCTGCTTTATATTTTATGGAAACCATGATATTTGTTTTCAGGATTTTCTGATGAACAGCAGACTCGAAAGAACAGCATTTATTTGAAACAGAAACATTTTGTAACACTGCTGTCATTCTTGATCAGTTTGGCCGCATTTACACTGCATGGTTCAGATGACCCAATTCCGGAAAAAGGAAAAAAGCACATGGATTCCGATATTCTCAGATCGGTTTCAAGCCTCATTCGTATGTGGAAATAAATCTGATATGAATCGGATTACGTGCATTTGTGCCTGCCGTGTAAGCAGGGTTGGATGTCAAATGTTTTTGAAACATCTCGCAGTACAGATACATCTATTACAAATTAAACATCTCTAGTTGACTAGCAGAGTATTCATTTGGTTCGTTTGTGTTAAATAACAGGCGATCTGGCGCTGAAAATGATAAAAGGATGGACAAATTAGAACCCAGACCCGCTAACTTAGCACAAGTTCTACTGCTAGACCATTAGTACCCGCAGATGTGTACAGTAGGGCTGTCAAAAAAAATTCAAATTTCGAATATTCGTCGAATAAAAAAATAAATAAAAATCTACATTCGAATGCAAAAACGGTGCATTCTAATTTAAGGTCTGTGTCAGCCGTCAGGCAGCCTTATCAGCGGCGCATGAGATGCGATGACGATTTATGTGTCATTGACTGCATTTGAATGTTTTTGTTAGCCTATCCAGTTGAACCCACTAGATGCGGCGCTGCTACGTTGTTCATTCATATATTGCGGAAAACGAGAGCATCAGTGTGGAGAAGATGTTGTTTACGTCAAAACTGAAACCAAGCCGTTCACACAGAACGCATATTTATCACATTTTATAGTGGGGCATCTATCAGCGTTGCACTCGCGTCTCGCACAAGAGACCGGCATAAGAGACCGGCATGTTTAGAAACCCATGTAAAATTAATGCAAGTTCAACTTTTAAAAAACATGTCTAAAGACGTTATGGCGGTTTTTCCCCATCCCACTGTATCTCATGTTTTTAAATGAAGAAAGTAGCCTACTTTTGTGATTGGTTTTCGGTCCTTTAAGTATTAAACTATACATACATGCATGGTGCTGTTTTTTTCCTCTAATTGTTTAAGCAACTTTATTAATTATATATGGTTTATAAACATTATTTTAAACATTATGCACTTTTTTCAAAGATAGTCGTGTTATTTTATTACGCTTTGAAGAAACGTGCATAATATTTTGCTCGATGCGCCCTCTTGTGGCCTCAGGAGAGAAGCCAAAAAGCTTTTTTCGCCCCTAACTGAAGTCATGCCTTTTAAATTCGAATATAATTCGAATTTTGATAATATTTAAGTAGAAAATTCTAATTTAGTTTTTCAGTCATTTTGCCAGCCCTAGTGTACAGCGGATCTGTCTATATAATCACTGTTGTGAAGAATCAGTACTAATGAATGATTTTGATGTATTAAAAATGTTTCTGAGTTCTGTCAATAAATTAAATGTCTTTGCATTCATATTCTGGACTCATCTGCTTAACTATACAAAGTATGCTTTATTAATAGTGTGTGCAGAGTTTAATATCTTTTAATATCATTGTCTAATGCATTGAAGGCACGTCAAGTTAAGGCTGTGTAGTGTAAATGCAGATATCGGATACCGGATACACTTTTAAAAGAAGGTGTACGCAGCTCATCAAAAAATCGGATATAGTCAAAAAATCCGATTTGGGCATCCAGATCTGCAGTGTAAATGCAGCTTATAACTCATCTTTGCTGAATAAAATATACATTTATTTAAAAGATTTTATTTTTATTATGCTATTCAGTAGTATGCAATAGTGTTTCTGTCATACTTCACATACACACAGTATCAGGTATAAACCTTTATTTCGCATAAAGACTTATGAATTTCTGTGTTTTTTGTTTATAATTTATTCTTCACTCTGTCATCTCCATAGAAACAGAATGAGCCGGTCACCCCCTCACCTTAAATTACAGTGAAGCAGGAGCACTCAGCACGCACTGCGCACATTTATTCTTTTAACTTCCATTATCAAAGGAAGCACTCAATGTAATAACCCAGAAATCACTGTACTTTGTGTATAGAGCTGCATACACAAAGTACAGTGATGTATTTGTCCAGAGGTCAGTATGAATATCTGCTCATGTCAAAACAGAAACAGCTGTGGAAGAAGCTGTGGATTGATGTGTGTGAGGAACATGTTACCGCTGTCACTCTCTCTGCCGCTGATAACAGCCACAATGACCACTCAGAATAACACATTCCTGTGCTGGACTGCCACGCATTTCACAATTACAGCAAATTTACCAGCCACTTTTTAAATGATCTAAAATAAAATAATTGGGAGTTTCCCAACTGGGATAGACTATAGCAATCCCTGTGACCCATAGGACAAGCGGTTTGGAGGATTCGATGGATGGATGAAATAACTGAATAGACCTTAGTGAGGTTAGACAGCACAGTGAATTTTACACAGATGAGAATGAGGCTGTGAGGGGCAGATTTAAGGCCCGTTCACACCAAGAATGAGAACTATAACAATAAGTAAAGTAATAACTGCATTAGCATCCACAACAACGGCTGAGTGTGTTGTGTTTTTTCAGAGTGAATGCTGCTTTTGTCATCTGCTGCCTCACATGCTCAAACTCTTTAAAGTCAGATGTATTCTGACTGGCTTTCAAAGTTTTTTTATCAATCATCAGCTGGAAAAAAAAATTGCTCTGCAAGTGATTGCAACAACACTGTTACTTTGTGTCGTTTACGTTACAGCTGTGGTGTGGACTTCTCTATTCTCAGAGTTAGAATGAATATTAAAATGTCATAGTTATAATTATCATTAACAGCACTTGTTAAAGTGATAAATGATGTACTGAGAATTGTGGATACTGGTAGCTCTGCCGTGCTTGTGCTCTTGGATTTAAGCACTGCCTTTGACACAGTCGACCATACTGTCCTGTTGTCCTGTTTAGAGATATGCACAGGCATCAAAGGGAAAGCCCTAAATTGGTTTAAGTCTTTTCTTGAAAATAGAACC